TACTATGCGACAATCTTATAGGAGATAACCACAGCATCACGTGGAAAACATCTTTGGTAAGTACAAGAGCGAAAGTTGCAAACAGCGTCGCACGACGGTTTGAGCGGATCCCAGTGATATGAAAACAGAGTGCAAGCTCTTTGAGTGCAGCATACTCGAGGCTGCCGCCGAATCCAGCATGAAGGATTATGTGTGAAATCGCCTGAGCCGTTTCGACTAAAGGAGAGCTGAGTCTGAAGAGTAAGCTCTAGGTGTTCAAGTCCATCTTCATCCCCATGTTTTTCTATGGTCGAGTCACGGGCCATGACTGAAAAATTTCGATCCTAGTACAAGCAGCTGAAATGGGCTTTCTGAGGCGAGTCAATAGCCTCACCTGTTTTGACAGGGTCCGGAACACAGAAATCCGAAAGCCCGGGTGTACAGTCACTGCCTCTTCACATTGGAAAGTCATAGCTGCGATGGTTCGGGTACGTGTTCCGAATATCTCCAGAAGGGAAGGCAAAGCGAGTACTACTTGCCCAGACGACCGGCAGAAATCCCACGGGACGGCCAAGATTAACCTGGGGCCAGTGTTCTGAAGGAATCTGCTTTAGATGTAGTTTTCTGCCGAAGCTCAGACACTGGCAGGGGATCGGGAATGTCTGACTCCGCGACCCCAAAGGAGAAACGGCCATGAAAAGTGAAGTTAAAAAAAATCCCCTTTTACCTGAAACTGTTGGAAAAGCAAGGTGCAAAGGCCTTGCTTTTCTGAAGAACGGCGTGAAGATCAGCGCGCAGAGCTAACAACGAATTATTGTTAGTTTCCGCTTATACTGTTAGTCTGTTTCACGCTTTATAGCATGCAGGTGTACCGAAAGAGAATATTAAGATTATTCTCTTGGGCAATGCAGTTGCTATCAGCACTAGTAGATATTCTCTCTAAAGCTGTACAGCAGATAACGTAGAAGTTACAAAACTATTTTTCTATCAGAAACTGAGGCTAATGGTTCTTTTTCGACTCTGCGTACCCTGGAAATAAAGTATAATACTCCCTGCAATGCACTGCCGTATTACCTGCCAATAAACACCGAGGATGATAATTTAAAAGGAATAGAGCCGTTTCATCGTGGTCCAACTTTGAGATCCATAAAGCAATAGACACAGTCTATGTTTGCTGTTAACAGTTTGGTATTTTATGGATGTAAATATCTCTGGAAGCTATACGGCGAATCTGCCTCACAATAACAGGTCTCTCCTTTTGCAGCACGACCGATATTTCTCTATTAGCTGCCTCCAAGTTCTTGCCTTTCTCTTTAAAATACTTTCTCATGACGTTCTAGAGAATAGTTTAGTTTGGATTGGCACAAGCCCATCTGCTACTGAAGTACAGTAGCAGGGCAGCCCATACTGGGGGTTTCTTTTTTCTTTCTTTCGAAGTTTGATACTGTCTACCAATTTGTTTGAAATTAAGTGATCCTGATTTAGTCGATAACACTTCCCTGCAAAGTTACAATTAGGCCAAAACTGTAACATTTTCGGAGTTATCACTAGTATCGTTGAATAAACAGGAGTTCATATATTCGTTCCGGATCTCGAGGTTCGTTTGGGCAGTTTTCTCCGAGGCTAAGTGTACAAGGACAGCCACGAGAAATCAAGCTAGAATCTGCAGTAAAGTTACATTTCATGTAGCATTTAGTTCTTTTTTATAAGGCTGGCTTTTGGAAAGAGAGCCACTGACTGACACCGTATAACATCACCTCATTACGTCAACACGGACAAATCTTCACACGGACATGAGTACGTGTAAGGTGAGCAAAAGTTGTTGTGATAAACAAATCAGCCACTTGCATAAGGAGTACGTCTCTGATCTGATCTGTGACTGTCGCTGTACTGTCAGCCGACTGGTTTACGCTATAAGCCATCGGTTACTGTACTGCAATAAGACGTTTCTCTTAAAAAGCTGATTTGTACCGATATCATTATGCCTGTTGCATAGCGGTGGTCAAATGAAAGTAAAGTAAGCGGTCGCAACACATGTCAAATTTCTGTTCTTAGTAGTGGGCTAAACGAATCATCGGGTAACAACAAAGATTCAATACATTCTGTGGCCAAGTTGAAGTACAAAAAAAAGAAAGAATGTTTATGACCAATCACACTTATAATCTTCCTAAGTACAACGCTTTCGGGTAATATTCGAGAAGTTCTGGCCACTGAACAACCAAACAGTCTGCCAGTCTCAGGTGGTAGAGAATCTTCGCCGAAAGAGACAGCGTCTTCACCCGACATATGCTTTCTACGTAGATGATGTAGCACGTACGAAAGCACAACAGGTCTAGCAGGAAGGCACAGAAGCAAACGGGCACGCATGTACCGGGACCGTTGCACAGCAGAAGTTGTGGCCGCTGATGCAACAAGACCGGAAAGCACAAGCCAAATGAACGTAATGTCGACAGTATCGAAGTCGCATATGACTGCTTCACCTGCCGACTGCGCGGTATCAAACAAACACTGAATTCACCGCCCTTTTCCACCTGTTTCACTTTTGACATGCTCAAAAAGTCGCTGTCGGCTATGACATACGACCGAGGTGAAAACTCGCTACCGAGGTTGCTGATCAGAGACAGCATTTCCATCGTATGGCCACCGGAGCCAAGGACAACAGTTGTGCGAATGGTACGACTGTTTTTGCGAAGAAACGTCTTATGACGCCAACGCCTCGTAAAACACAGCGAAAAAATCAATGTCAAAAAACATGTCAAAATTATGCACCACATGGCACAAGTGCAACAGCAGAAATTTACTACATCGGCATCGGTACAAGCTCAAGTTTCTATAATCAATGCTCTTCAACAGCAAGCGCTTTTGCCAACGACTTTACCACAGCATACTAAAATCATTCATGGAAACAAACAGTAGTGTTAACTCTCAGAAACGGTACAGTAATACGTTATTATGTCATTATCACAGTTGGTTAAGGGCACAAACAACGCAGAGGTTAAAACTTCATTACACAAGCTCTGTAACGAAGTTGAGAACACAACAGATTTCACATATCACAACGGAAGAGTATTCATGGCACATACGATGCTCTATCGCCAAAATATGTAGGTACCCCTTATCAAAAGACCAAACGCTGCATCATTCACTTTAAATCAATAGATTTTATACAAGATGGCTAGCTGCCAGCATATCCGCTGTGCCCTGACGATCCTATGGCATGCGTCGCGAAACGCGTAGGCTAACTGTCAACATCAGGAACGTTTGGTGTGCTAAACAATAAATCGGCGAACCTCTGTGATTTCCGCAACGGGTCCAGAATCGGAAATGCT